GGAGGGAGTAACATCAAAGAGTGGTTTGTTGCCGTAAAAATCTTCTGTCATTTCTAGACCCTGTCGGGGAGCTCTGCGTTGGACATATTTTCTAATTTCCGGGGAAAAAACAGTAACTCGGGAAATGAACGTGTAACTGAGATTTACCTCGGAGCAGCACTGGCGTACAATTATCGGTGTACAGTTATTCGCGTGTAGCTTGCAAACTTACCTGTCTCAAAATCTGTCATCATCCACATAATCAGATCTGCGTACTTACCAGAAGAACGCAATTCTGGAAGCGTGCCAGAAATGAGGTTCCTTTGAAGCACTGCTGGAGTGATGAGGCTCGGCAAGCTCTGGAAATCGATAACACAAGATGCCATGTCGCTTGATCCATGGGAGTAATTTTTGGACTTGTGATGCAGATGCCAGAGGTAAGACTAGGCAGCCAGATTTTGCTCACGGTGCCGCACAGCTAGAGGCATCCAGTGGCTTTGATGGTCCAGGTAGATACCACCTGCTGCATTACCATGCCTCGCAACTCAGCCTGTTAAGTCTGTTCGGACAGCTGCTGTTCCCGCAAATGAAAAGACCATCGTGCTTGGAAAATATACCGACTCTATCTAAGAATACGCTTAGGTTTCTTCACAACTTCGTAGAACGTGGGCTAATTCACCGAACAAACCTTAAAGGTGCGGCAAACATCGCCTTATGATGATCATAATGTAGAACGAAGTTCCTAATCGTCTGTGTAATGTTTTTTGTCCTGCTTACGTCAGACAGATCAAGCTACAAAGACATAATGATAGAGCTGTGCAAGTAAATTAGGGATAATTGGCAATAAAAGATTTTAATTTCAAATTATTAAGCTAATTTGCCTAAAAATGTCTTCATTTATCTCAGAACACTTCTCCGCAATTACTGAATTTTTGAAAGGTTCTAGGAGTCACACAGCACACCCTGGCTTACGGTATATGCACGGTTACAGTAAGAATAAGTAAGTTAGAAGACCAGTTTGGCAAACAAGCGGAATCCTGATCGTACCTACAGTACGTGATCGATTTGAATGAGTTATGTTAGCCATGAATGCGACGATGTTCGACTTGCAACCGCGAAATCGTCGTTGCGAACATCGGGCAACAGTTAAGATACAAGATCACCTACGGTTTAGAGATGCCAAGCGTTTACCGTAAGCTGTGCGCAAACGAGGTTCTAGTGATAAACACTGAGAGTGCACGTTATGGTTTTTAAGGAGGTTCCGTTTAAGCGAATAACGTTTTGCTAACAAACGGGAATGTGATTGCTACGGTCCATATTAATTCTTCCATCGTTACACCCACCGTCTGAACAAAGGATGAGAACCCACTTGCGATAGGTGATATGAATTCAACCGACCTTGCAAGGGCGAGTTGGCGAGTTACTTGTAAGTTTTGCCGACAGGGATTGTGTGTTTCCCTCAGTTCTTATGCGTATTTAAAGCAAAAACCTGACGACAAGGGGCGAAAGAAAGCGACGAAGTCAACTAACAGATGTCTTGACAAATCGAACCATAAGTCACAGCAATCAAAGAAATCTAAAGAAAAGTCTACAATGGTTGGAATGTCGGTTTCTCGTACACATAAATGATGGTAAGCACTTGCCACCTTTCAACTCGGTTTACAGACGATCAGAAGAATGATCAATGAATGACCAGACCCGGCCTGCACTTGGGGTTTTGCGACTACGAAGCCTCACGCTGTGCCGACAGCAGAAAGTAAACCTGCAGCGCTGACGACGACACCACACGGTCTTCGTTAACCTCTTCTTCTTCAGATCAAAATATTGCGGGAGAAACTCACGACACTGACTACCTCGTCATAAGCCTTGACAAACTGAGCTGTTGGCATTACCGGCTTTGGAGTTTAGTCAAAATATCATCATCGATCGGTGGACCCCTGGACGTTTTGGTTACTGCGTTCATCACCCGACCAGATCATTCCAATCTGACAATGGGAATCATCGTAACAGAGTTGATTACACCGAGAATCCAAACTTTGACACAGTGGGTGAAAAAAAAGTTTACAACTTCGGTGGATGATCGAACACTTGATAAACTGGGCGTCATTCTTGTTCGGAACGCGCGGCAAACTTTTCTATGACATCTACTCGAAAGAGGTACTGAATTGTTCGAGAGAGAAAAAACTACAGAAACCTGCAAACCTCCCCTCCTGCCATCACGTGGCCATGCAAGCGAAATGGCTTAGTTGATTACTAGAACGTAACCTGAACCAACGGCTCGATCGATGCTTTTAGACGAATACAAACAGCCAGATGATACATGATCAAAGAGGCAGAATTATTTAGGCTGGAATCGGATTTTGGTAAGCTCATTGAAACGGTGTTTCCAGAATTCGATTCAACGCAATCACAACCGATCAGACAATATCATCTACATTACACTGAACGTTAGCAAGATCCCTGGATGGCAGTGAAATAGAAATGGACAAGTTGAAAGTCGGTGGCCTTCGAGGTTTTCCCAAGACCGGCAATGTACCGATACAAGCACATGACGAACGACAATGACCGGCTAAAACAACGATGGTGAAAGCTGTAACAACAGCAAATCGAAATAAGCTGGATTTGAATTCTCCCGGCACCCTGTTCACTTCACCACTTAATAATGAAAGATAAACTTTGGCCGCCTTTGGATAATCTGCTACAGACAAACTACAAGTTAATCCTGATCGAGAAACATCGGATGAAGGGTGCGTCTTGAGGTTATGACAGTGAAAGCGAAATGGAATTATAGACATGAATGAGCGGTTGAACCTCCAAATATTTGGCACCAGAGCAGAGTGAAGGAAGGAAAAGAAAGTGCGAGCTCACGGCGTCGATCGATCGATCTCTCGTCACTGTTTCGTCATCGTCGTTCACGGCTAACAAGGCTTATGCCGCAAAGCAACCAGGAGTCATGACGTCTGACCGTTAGAAACGGTACTTCAGGCTGCCATTAGGCAACGTTAGGCATGTCGCAGTAAAGGTAATATTAGTCTTCGCAAGGAGGTCTGCCTCAACGAAGTGGTGCTCCACGTTTTGTACCGTACTCCAGTGGGTCTGTGACCAGTGGCCGATTCTCATG